TTGCCCGAAACATCTTGCCACGGAAATTCAGTCAGCACTCGCTAAGCATGGCCCTAATGTACAAGCCAATCAGGTAGCGAAAATTTGGGAGTGGATGCTACTGCCACCCGTCGTAGTGTAGCCACTCAGAAGAAGCGGCTGAGTGCTTCCGCCAGCCGCGCCAAGATGATCGCTCAGGTGGTCAAGGTTGCGCCTAAGGCGAGAGTGCTTGGTCGCGCGGGTTTTCTGCCGCAGGCGACGTGGGGGCTGGAACGCATCGGCCTTGCCCCGTCGACGCTGCTGCGAGTCCGAGCGCAGGTGGCCGCGCAGTCGGGTGCCCGTTTTGAGGGAGGTTGCTCGACCACGGCGCTCTATTTAACGATGGGAGCTGATCACGGCCCATGGTTGTTCGGACGCCAGAAAGTTTTTAGGTCGCGGTGCGAGCTCCTGCCTTGTGCACTGCGCTCTGGCGAGCGACCTGTCCAGCATGCGTCGAAAAAAGGCTTGGAATCAATTGCGCAATGTAAAGAGAAGGTGGAGCCACGTTCGGGGGCCCCTCACGGCTGTGACCGCTTGCCTACAGGACATTAATTGGGATGCCCCTGAGCCTCGGCTTTGGATTGACAGATCCGACGGCGCCACCTTTGATTTGAGAGCCTGTGATCCTGAGAGGCTCATTGGTTTTGACCTCCGAGGCTCCCTTGAAGGCCAGGTGCGGGCTAAAGCGGCTCGGCACTACCACGGTCGGGGTATGGAGCACAGTGCTGATTTCACGGTTGCCTATCGCTACTTGAAGCGATTGGAGGGAAGGCAGCAGCATGATCAGGCGGCCGTCTTGAAGATCGTGCTCGCGGGGGGTTTGTGGCCAGCCGCCAGGCGCTTTGGGGGAGAGAGCCTCCATCCTCCTCTGCCTCCTCCCCACGACGGCGACGGTGGCAGCGGCGACGGCGGCCCTCGGCCCGACCCTGCGCCCGAGGAGCACGCTGGCCCCGACCCGCGCCCCGAGGAGGGGCGGCCCGTTGCCGCGGGATTGGACGAGGAGGACGACGTTTTCGGTCTCGATGACCTGCTGGAGCAGCAGGCCTGGGATGATCAGATCGGGCATGAGGAGGCCGAGCCTTCTTCGCCTGCCCCTGGCACGCCTCGTCGCCTTCCCTCTTGCCCGAGGTGCGGGGCGGAGTCGGAGACTCTGTTCCATCAGATGTGGAGTTGCCCCATATAATTCCGAAATCGAGGGGGCGGCGCTTGACTTGCTTCCCCAGGCCGAGCAGGAATGGGAAGAGCATCCGTGTTTTTGGTTGAGGGGGTTGCCCCCTTTGAGGTGGGCGTCAGGGCCGACGCTCGCCGACGCCTCGTATGAGCCAGTTTTCTCCCCCAGCCTCAGCCAAGGGCCGATCGATCTGGAGGAGGGGGGCGCGGTGGTTGGGACGGACGGGTCGGGGGGACCGTGCTCGGCTGAGCCCAGGCTAAGACGGTGCGGGTGGGGGTTCTCCATAATTCGGGGGGCGGACCGACAGTTAGGTTGGGGGTATGGATCTCTCCCAGGGTTTAAGCAGTCGGTGCCCCTCGCCGAGCTCGAGGCCATAATCCAAGTCCTTATGTGCGCCACGGGAAGCATGGAGGCTGCTGTGGACTCGGCTGTGACGATCTCGGGGTTCAAGAAAGGACTGGGGGGAGGTTCTGGGATGCCGCCCAGGGCCGCTCCATTGTCATGCATAAGGTTAAGAGCCGCACGAGGCCGGCCCCAGAGAGAGCGGATGGACCACACTTGGGGTTGTGGCTTGCCAATGGTGCTGCCGACAAGGCAGCTGATTGTGGAGCTCAGAAGTGCCAACTGCCTGACAGTGCTGTCAATGAGGTCATTCGGGTTGACGAGTTGACTCTGAGAGCGCAGAAGCATTTAATTGCTGTGGCACTGCATGTCGCGTCTCGTGCCCCAGAGTTGCATGGGCCCAGCTCCAAAGCCGCTCGCGCCGCCGAGGCTAAGCTTCGGGGGAAGGATCGGGCCTTGAGGGTGGAGGAAGCTAAGGCGGCCACGACCCATAGGATCGGGTACGACACTAAAGGCATCAAGTGCTTGAGGTGTCTCACTCGGCCCTCATTTGACCTCAAGGTGTGTGAATGGTTAGCTTCCCCTTGTGCCCATGTCCCCGCTGGCCTCGACTTCTCCCATAGGGTGGAGCTCTGCCAGGGGGTTTTCTGGTGTCAGCTGTGCGGGGCGACTGGCACGAGGGGGAAGTTTGTGAAGCTCGGCAAACCGTGTCGACCTGATCAGATTGGTACCTGGGGGAGGAGGGTCCTGAGCGCCCTCGCTGCAGGTAAGCTCCCCCCTGGGTTTAAGTCTTGGCCTGAGCCAGACGAATCCGTGTAGTTCTTGGTTCTGGCGTGCTCGATTCTGGGATTTCACGCTGCAGTTCTGGACGTGGACGAGGAGGAGGAGGAGGAGGAGGAGGAGGAGGAGGAGGAGGAGGAGGAGGGTCAGCTGAAGGTGGTCGGCTGACGTCGCCCGGCCTGCCCCGCACTCTCCGATCTGGGGGGCCGCCAGTCGGCCGTCCACCCGCTAGTCATCAGTGTCGTCTACTCCAGATTTCGTAATAAAGGGAGGGGGTCTCATTTCGGGGGGGGTCTCTTCCAGGCTATCTTGGAGGGCCTGGGGGGTCTGGGGACGACGTTTTGGAGGGTTCTCCCACGGGGGAGGTCTGAAATGGCTTGTCTTGGAGGGTCCAGACCCCCTCCTTTTTATTACGAAATCTGGAGTATCGTCTAACGTCCAACCGACCCCTGTCCCCATCCCCATCCAGACCCCCACTATCTTAGCACCCCAGTTGGGGATCCACTTTCCATGTAGGGGGGTAAATCGGCCAGTGGGACCTCTGGAGATCTCCGGAGGCGTCGCTCGTCGTCGTCGTCGTCGTCGTCGTCGTCGTCGTCGACCTCGTCTTTGTGGTCGGTCGTCGTTGTCGTCGCCGTCGTCGTGGTCGTCGTCGTCGCCGTCGTCCGTCGTCGTCGTCGTCCGTCGTCGTCGTCGTCGTCGTCGTCGTCGTCGTCGTCGTCGTCGTCGTCGTCATTGTCGCCGTCGTCGTCGTCGTCGTCGTCGTCGTCGTCGTCGTCGTGCGCGCGGACACTGCGCCAGAACCGCGCGGCGGGGAGGGGGCGTTACGTTATGCTCCCTCCCGGCTCCCCCCCCCTATGACGCCCGTTATTTATCGCCGCGAATAAAGAAACGCGCTTGAAGCTCCCTGGAACGGCCTGACGGCCCCAGACGGCCCAAGAGGCCCCGGAGGTAGACAAGAAGCATGAACCGACATTTCGAGCTTTTCGAACCCAAGAAAGGCCCCAAGAGGTTGCCACGAGGCCCGAAGAGGCCCCCAAAGGTTGCCCAAGGAAGCCCCAAGAAGGCCCCCCTAGGAAGGGGCCCTTCAAAGGTTGCCCCCTAGGAAGCCCCAAGAAGGCCCCCAAAGGTTACCCGAAGGTTGCCCGAAGAGGCTCCTAGGAAGCCCCAAGAAGGCCCCCAGAGGTTGCCACGAGGCCCGAAGAGGACCCCAAAGAGAGCCCCCACGATGCCCCGGAAGGCTCCCAAACGGCCCCCAACAGGCCAAACAGCGGCCCCCAAGAGGACCCCGCGACGCCTCCCTCGACATCACACATAACACTCGAATGACTTTTGACCCACTACCTAAGTAAGCATGGTGGAGGGATGGGTCGAAGGCCATTCCAATCGCTTTCGCACTCACCCGCCCTTCGCTCATTGACAGATTTCTAGCCTTGGCCTTCCCAGTTTCTACCGTTCTTGTTTCGTTACCTTAGGCTTCCCCCCTCTCACTTCGAAGCTCCCCCACCACGACAACATTTCCGAATGGTTCACTCTGGCTGTCCTGCGTGTTTTGCAACCGCATTTGGGGTACCTTGGCAACTTCCACGAGAACTCCAAGACGGCCCACCCCACCATCTTCCTGGAGAGCCTTCCGGGAACATGATTGTCGCCGCTAATCCGATGAGGAGACCGAAGAGGAGGAGGAGGGTCCGCGCCATCCCACCGAACATCCCAATTCGGCGTAGCGTTGCCTGGGGACCCAGCGGAACTGAGGTCGGGTCCGCGGCCCCGCTGCGAGTGGATTCGATGCCGATGGTGCACTCCTCTTCCGTTCCGTCTCACATTCCTTGCCGTGGCCTTCCCAGCTTTTACCGCGAATCTCTAGTTGCCTTGCGCCTCCCCCATTCCCCCTTCCAAGCTTCACCACCATGTCAACATGTGCAAATGTTTCGACTGGGCCGTCCTTCGGTCTTTGCAGCCGCGTTCGGGTAACCTGGGACCTTCCACGAGGGTCCCAACGCGGCCCAAACCAGGATACTCCCAGAGAGCCTTCCTGGAACATGATTGTCGCCACCAGCCCGACGAGGAGACCGAAGAGAAGGTTGAGAAGGAGGAGGAAAGAAGGACAAGGAAAGGACAGGAAAGGAAAGGACATAAAAGGGAATGAAAGATTTGGAAAGGAAAGGGAAGGAAAAGAAAGCAGCAAACGGTGGCAGATAATGATGAGAAAGATAATGACGACGATAATGGGGATGCCATCCCGGGCGGGTTCCAAAGTGACCCCGGGGACGCCCAAGACGGCCCAGGATGCTCAAAGACAGGAGGTTCACCCCGGAGGGCCCCCCCACGGGCGGGACGGGCCGAAGCAAATTCTGGTTTCTGTTGTAACCCCCCGCGTTCCTTGCCACCCCTTTCCCGTGGCTCTCCCAGCTCCGGCCGTTTTTGTGTGTTGCATTAGAACTCATATATCTCGCTTCAAGCTTCACCTTCTCATCCCCATTCTCAAGATTTGCGAATGATTCCGTTCGGCCGTCCTTTGGACTTCGCAGCCTTCTTTGGGTGACCCTGGAACCTGGGGGCTTCTGGTGGCGTCCGAGGGTTTTGAAAGCTTCCAGTGGCTTCGAGGTTCAGAGGGTTCGGGGGACGCCACCAATTCACCGTCACCGAGGGCCGACCCCCGATGGCGCGTCCCAGCCTCGCCTGCCAGGTGTGGGACACCGCCACTGGGGAACTGAAGCACAGCCTGGACGCACGGGCCTCGGGCATGGGAGGGCGCCCGCCCGTGCCCCTCCAGAACTGGGCAGCCCGTCGCCAGGGCGAAAAACGCGCTTCGGTCCCTCCGCTCCACCCCTCTTTGGCGGAACTGGCGATGGGATGCGGCGTGTCATCTCGGGCAGGGCGTGGCATAAGTCGTAGACGGTCCCAGCGGCTGCGTTTCGGGCTGAACCGCGGCACGCGCTGAACAGTGTCTTGGTGATATACAGGGTGTGGAAGCATTGTTCATCCGGTGTGCGTATTTTTGGCAGGTTCGTCCGGAGGGTGCGCAGATGGAAAGATCAGCCTACAACAGGAACGGAGAAACAACAGGAGGAGGAGGGGGAGGAGGAGGAGGAGGAGGAGGAGGAGGAGGAGGAGGAGGAGGAGGAGGAGCAGGAGGAGCGGAGGAGGAGGAGGACGACGAGGAGGACAAGGAGGGACGCGGAGGAGGAGGAGAGGAGGAGGGAGGAGGAGGAGGAGAGAGGAGGAGGAGGGGAGGAGGAGGAGGAGGAGGGAGGAAGGAGGAGGAGGAGGAGGGGAGGAGCAGGAGGAGGACGAGGAGGAGGAGGACGAGAAGGACGAGGAGGAGGAGGAGAAGAGAGGAGGAGGAGGAAGAGGAGGAGGAGGGAGGAGGAGGAGGAGCAGGAGGAGGCGGAGGGGGATGAGGAGGTGGAGGGAAGAGGAGGGCGGAGGACAGAGGGGGAGGAGGAGGAGAGGGGGAGGAGGAGGAGGAGGAGGCAGGAGGAGGAGGAGGAGGAGGAGGAGGAGGAGGAGGAGGAGGAGGAGCAGAAGGAGGACGAGGAGGACGAGGAGGACGAGGAGGACGAGGAGGAGGAGGAGGAAGAGGAGGATGAGGAGGAGGAGGAGGAGGAGGAGAAGGTGGAGGTGGAGGAGGAGGAGGAGGAGGAGGAGGAGGAGGAAGAGGGCCAGTGTAAACCCAAAAGTCATCAAAATGTTGGAGTTAACCCGCCCTCCAAGCTCCCTCTTCATAGGCTCTTACAACGGTTCATTTCCATTGATGGCAGTGCCTCGTTGGAACACACGCGTTTGAAGACCCTGAAACATGCCAACACATTGTTCTCGGGACTCCAACGCCAGGGATCAACCTGACCGTTGCGTCTTGACGATATTGAATCGCGCTAGAACGCCATCCCTAGGATTTCCACGCAGAGAATCAACGTAACTGTTGCGCCCACATAATCAGAATCTATCCAAAACAGGTACGTTGATGATGGGATTCCGCACAACTGTTGCAAGTTAGGAATGAAACGAATGCGCGCCGCGCAAAGGCGATAGCAACATGTTGAAAACCACCCGCCCTCAATCCGTGAAGCTCTTGCGAATGTTTAACACGAATGTGCGCCGCGCTGATGCGAGAACAACATTTTGAATACCACTTACTTTCAATCCGTGGAACTCTTGTAAATGTTTACAGCGCATATAAGCCGCGCTAAGGCGCGAGCCACATTTTGAAAAGCACCCGCCCTCAATCCGTGAAGCTCTTGCAACTTTCAAGACGAATGTGCGCGGCGCCAAGGCGAGAGCCACATTTTGAACACCACCCGCCCTCAACCCGTGAAGCTTTTGCAACATCTTAAAAGGAATGTGCGCCGCGCGAAGGCGAACGCCACATGTTGAAAACCACCCGCCCTTAATCTGTGAAGCTGCTGCCGTTTTTAAACCTTCAGAATCATAGATGGTGAGGAATTCTCAGGCGAAACGCCCGGCCCGCCCTACAAACTGGCCTCGGGTGCGAGAGGGAGAAGTTCTATTTAATCGCTTCGCTCATGCCGCCGGCCCTGGAGCCCTCTTTAGGGCCTCTTGGGGGCCTCTTGGGGACCTCTTGGGAGTCTCTTGGGGCTCCTTGGCGGCGTTTTGGAGGCCCCCAGGGCCTCTTGGGGGGCTCTTGGGGGTAGTCGATTGCGGCTCCCCCCTCGGAGGCCACGATCCTCGTGATGGGTGTCGAAAAATACCCTCCCCTGGAGTGGTCTGGTGGCTTCTCCCGGGCTTCTCTCGGGACCTTGCCGGGGTACTTTTCGTCCGGGGGCCCCCAGGGGCCGCTCCGCGCGCGCGAACTAGATATATTGTTAACAAGTTACTGGAGATCTTAGCACGCCTCTGGCCCGTTGGGCCGGCGAATTTATAAGGAAAAGAAATGGAGGAGGAGGAGGAGGAGGAGAAGGCGGCGGGGGATGAGGAGGAGGAGGAGGAGGAGGAGGAGGAGCAGGAGGAGAGGAAGGAGGAGGAGGAGGGAGGAGGAGGAGGAGGAGGAGGAAGGGGATGACGAGAATGAGGAGGAGGAGGAGGTGGAGGAAGAGGACGAGAAGGAGGAGGACCAGTGTAAACCCAAGACGCATCAATGATGCTGGAATGAACCCTCCTTGCAAACTTCCGCTTCGTGGGCCCCAACGAGGGCTCATTCCCATTGAAGGAACTGCCCCGTTGGGAGACAGTGAGCCAAACTACCGTTCTCGGGACTCCAACGCCACGAATCAATATGAATGTTGCGTCTTGACGATCCGGAATCGTGCCTGAAGACCGTTCCTATGACTTCAACGCCGCGAATCAACGTAATTGTTGCGCCCTCACAATCCAGAATCCTTCCACAACATACTCCTGGCACGTTGACCATGGGGATCCGTGAAACTTCAGCAACTGTTGAAGACGCGGGTGCGTGGCATTAAGTCGATATCCACATTTTGAAAAAGTGCCGCCTTCAGTCCGTGAAGTTCTTGCATGTCTAAGAAATCGAATGCGCGCAGCGCTGAGGCGGGAACCACGCGCCGAGAACGGTCCGCCCTCACTCCGTGAAGCCCTTGCGCAGTCTTAAAAACGAAGGCGCGCGGCGCTGAGGCGAGAGCCACATTTTCAAAACGCCCCGCCCTCAATCCGTGACACTGTTGCACAATGTTCAAGCGAATGTGCGCGGCGCTGGGGCGGAGACCACACTTTGAAAACGGCCCGTCCTCAATCCGTGAAGTCGTTGCGAATTTTTCAAGCGAATGTGTGTGTGGCGCCAAGGCGAGAGTCACATCTTGAAAACGGCCCGCCCTCAATCTCAGAAGTTTTTTTTGCAAAATTTCAGAAAGAATGCGCGCGGCTCTACGGCGAAAGCCACCTTTTGAAATCGGCCCGCCCTCAATCCGTGAAACTGCTGCGAATGTTTGAAAAGAAGATTCGCGACGCTAAGGCGAGAGCCACATGTTGAAAACGACCCGCCCTCAATGTGTGAAGTTGATGCGAATGTTTGAAACGAATGTGCGCGACGCTAAGGCAATGACCACATTTTGAAAACGGTCCGCCCTCAATCCGTGAAGCACTGGCAATATTTGTTGAAACGAGTGCGCGCGGCGCTCAGGCGAGAGCCACATCGGCATCCCCCCAGCATACTTATACTATGTGTTCGTCGCCCCCCCAGGGGCGACGCGCGCACCGAGAAATCTTGTAGTGTATGCGTCGTGGCGTGCGCTTTCTGGCCACACCGCTCGAGAAACGATATACTACAAGATGGGTATACTATATGTTCGGGTCGGACGCGCGCCTCCAAGGCGGACATATAGTATTAGTATGTCTCTGTGCGTCCCACCACATGTTGAAAACCAACCGCCCTCAATCCGTTGAACTGTTGCCCATGAGTGGTGAGGAAGTCTCGGGCGACACGCCCGGCCCGTCCTTCCGACCGGCGTAAGGGCGCGACGGGGAGGAGTTCTTTTGAAGGAGAGGAGTGGAGGAGGAGGAGGAGGAGGAGGAGGAGGAGGAGGAGGAGGAGGAGGAGGAGGAGGAGGAGGAGTTTGAAGACCCTGAAACATGCCAACACATTGTTCTCGGGACTCCAACGCCAGGGATCAACCTGACCGTTGCGTCTTGACGATATTGAATCGCGCTAGAACGCCATCCCTAGGATTTCCACGCAGAGAATCAACGTAACTGTTGCGCCCACATAATCAGAATCTATCCAAAACAGGTACGTTGATGATGGGATTCCGCACAACTGTTGCAAGTTAGGAATGAAACGAATGTGCGCCGCGCAAAGGCGATAGCAACATGTTGAAAACCACCCGCCCTCAATCCGTGAAGCTCTTGCGAATGTTTAACACGAATGTGCGCCGCGCTGATGCGAGAACAACATTTTGAATACCACTTACTTTCAATCCGTGGAACTCTTGTAAATGTTTACAGCGCATATAAGCCGCGCTAAGGCGCGAGCCACATTTTGAAAAGCACCCGCCCTCAATCCGTGAAGCTCTTGCAACTTTCAAGACGAATGTGCGCGGCGCCAAGGCGAGAGCCACATTTTGAACACCACCCGCCCTCAACCCGTGAAGCTTTTGCAACATCTTAAAAGGAATGTGCGCCGCGCGAAGGCGAACGCCACATGTTGAAAACCACCCGCCCTTAATCTGTGAAGCTGCTGCCGTTTTTAAACCTTCAGAATCATAGATGGTGAGGAATTCTCAGGCGAAACGCCCGGCCCGCCCTACAAACTGGCCTCGGGTGCGAGAGGGAGAAGTTCTATTTAATCGCTTCGCTCATGCCGCCGGCCCTGGAGCCCTCTTTAGGGCCTCTTGGGGGCCTCTTGGGGACCTCTTGGGAGTCTCTTGGGGCTCCTTGGCGGCGTTTTGGAGGCCCCCAGGGCCTCTTGGGGGGCTCTTGGGGGTAGTCGATTGCGGCTCCCCCCTCGGAGGCCACGATCCTCGTGAGGGGTGTCGAAAAATACCCTCCCCTGGAGTGGTCTGGTGGCTTCTCCCGGGCTTCTCTCGGGACCTTGCCGGGGTACTTTTCGTCCGGGGGCCCCCAGGGGCCGCTCCGCGCGCGCGAACTAGAAATATTGTTAACAAGTTACCGGAGATCTTAGCACGCCTCTGGACCGTGGGCCGGCGGAATTATGCCGAGCTGATCAGTGGCCTGGCGTCCGGAGGAGAAGGCGGCGGGGGATGAGGAGGAGGAGGAGGAGGAGGAGGAGGAGCAGGAGGAGAGGGAGGAGGAGGAGGA